ATCAGTCTAGTAAGCACTGACTGCTTAAATCTTGACAACATGTTCAATCTTGTAAAAATGTGTCAGAACACTTATTTGTGCCAGGGATTCAGGATCAGACTATAGGAAGAGAAATTACTTGGAAAATCTTATTCTGCAGTGGATACCTATTGCTACATATGTTATGATAAAAATGCTGAAGAATGTAGTCATTTGCTTCCTGGTAATTAACAGAATCAGATTTATTTTCTTTTGATTTTTTAAAGGTCTATTTTGTTCAAGATATTAATGCAGGTTTAAAAGATGTGGCGGAAATACCAGAAAAGCAAGTGAGTACAATTATTTGTTTTCAGTCCTTGCATAACATGTTGCAATTTATCATACGACTATAAAGCACTAGAAAATTTAAAAGGTCTTGTATTTATAAGTGGCATTTTTTTCCCTAAAAAGGTCACTTTATCTTCTCTATCCAGTGAAGAGCTGCAGAACTTAATTGTCAAGTTGAAAAAAGCAAGTAATGGTGAGTTTACTTAATACTAAAATTAAGATGTTTTTAATTGAATTGATTAAATATTTCATTGTTATTTCCATTGTTAGATACCTGTAAAAATATAAGACATGGTATTAAGCACATATGAAGTAATTATCAGGCAGACTCCAATAGCTCAGTGTTACTATGAAAAATAAACTAGACTGAATGATAAAACACCGATCATTTGTTCCTTTCAGTTTTTGTTTCCCAGTTAAATATCACTACAGATAACAATACAGCTCTATTATAAACATGTGATGAGAGATTTATACTCCTAACAGACTGTTTTCTAGTGCTGCAGACTGAGTTCATGTCACTATTGTAATGTGTGTTATAAACCAGGAACTCCTGAAAACTGGAACTCTTGGAAGCTGGAAAGCGATACCTAAAAGTTTTGCATTTCCATGCAGGCTTGGAACTTCACCTTAAGGAAGAAATACTGTCCCACCAGGCTTTACAAGAAGCCTTAGATGACCCAAAGAATGGGGAATCTGCTTTCAAACACTTGAAGCAACAGGTGCGCTCACTGATTTACTAATAGCTATAGATGGGTTTGGAGGGAAATTGTGCTGCTGTAAATTTGAGCCACTCTGTGTGTATAATGCTAGTAGCATCCCATAGAGGAAATCTGATATGCTTTCAACTTTGTGCTCTTCAAATAATAGCATATATACGGCTGCTTTCTTAAGTTTGAGTAACAGAAGCTTATTTACTGAAATAAATTTTAAATTGTGTGGTGTTCTGAATTATTAGTTATATATTCATATTTTTTATTAACTCATAATAAAACTGAGCTACAAAAAGTAAAATATTTGCTAAGAAGGAATCTTTTTCTGTAAGAGCTGGTCCTAGATCTCCTGCTTGTGTACCAGATGCACAAAAAGAATTGGAGAGCCTGCATTTATCTTCTGCCTTTTTAATGTATATTAAACAGCAGAAATTGTAAGGGAGATGGATTGTATATTGTCGCAAAATAGAAAGTTTTGGGAAGAAAAACTGAACAGTGAGAAATGTGTGTCTCCTGTGCTCTACTTTCCTTTCTGATGTATTATAAAACACATAACTGCAGAAGAGAGAGAGCTCTGCAGGGCATTGATGCTTTACAGAAAGTGCAGGACAGTATCCATATTTTGGATGGCTACTTTGAGGATCAGTGAGAATATATGTGTACCTGAACCCCAGTATCCACTGCACAGAGTTCTGAGTGCAGTTCTATGAGCAGGGGAAGAAGGGCAGGGTGCTGCTGACTAGCCAGAATGAGTAATCTCTCTGTACAACTTAATCCCTCACTGAAGGGGAGGCTTGAAAAAGGCTTCTGCGGTTGGGTGAAGTAATCATTTTTCTGTAAGGCATCACAATACACTCTGTATATATTTGCTTAGTTCACAAATAATCTTTTTATGTTTGTAGGCTTCTATTTTAGGTAACATGGAAAAACTGCATTTACTTGGTCCAGGAAGATGTTTTGTTGAGTTTGGAGCTGGGCGAGGAAAGCTGTCTCATTGGGTTGATGTTGCCTTACAGAATGTTGAAAATGTGCAGTTTTTGCTTGTGGAAAGAGCAACCACAAGATTCAAGGTAAGAGGATTGTCAGATTAGCAGAGTATGATTTTTGAACTCTTGCCATTGAAACTGTTAGTATTAGATTTTTAAATTCAATAAATTTAAATTTCAAATGTTCTACCTTCCATACTTCACCAATAGCAAATTTATTAGGAAAAAACCCTGGTGTTCAATATTGGAAATTTGCAGATGTTGACTTGACAGGAAAAAGGTCTGGCATTAATGCCCAGAGCAATGTTATAATTATTAGTGGCCATCCGTGTTTAATAATCTTGTTCTGTTTAAACAGGTGGATGGAAAACATCAAAGAAGAGATTCTATATTTGAGAGGCTTCAAGTTGATATTCAGCACTTATGTTTAAGTAAGTTCCTTCTTGGCTTGTGTCACTCTGAAATAGAGGCTTATTCTTAAATTTGGAATACTGGGGTTCAAGTCAGTGTGTATGTAGAATGCTTAAATGGTCTTGGTTTTGAAGATTATTCTCTGTGGTTGCTTGGATATGTTGATGCTGTGTGTATACACATACATAATACACACAGGCATGTGTACATATACACACATATTTTAAATGGAGATTTAAAGTTTTCTACTCTGTACACTTGTAGGACATCATTATAGGTGAGAAATACCAAAACAAGTGCATTTTGAAGGTTTTTTAGACCTTGCAGGATTGCATTTTTTGGTTTAGGTACAAGTATGCACCATCGATGCTGTAGAATTTGTGACCTTTCATCAGAAAAAATATTGCCCTAACTGTAATAATACAGGTGCTGGGGTTATTGGGGATTGCATGGGGGTTCTGTTTGTTGTTTGTTTTTCCCCCTCCAGGTAAGGTACCTATTTTGGAGAAGAAAAAACTACCGGTGGTAGGAATTGGGAAGCATTTGTGTGGTGCTGCAACAGGTATGAATTATAGATGTGTGAGCTGCAGAAAGTTAGGAGACTAAATCTTACACTCTGAATGGACTGATCTTCCAAACTATCCTTTTAAGCTTTTCTTGCCGTCTACCCCATTGTTGGTGAATATAGCAATTATATTCTAATTACCTATTGACTCCAGTGGAATAGTAAAAGGATAATAGGTGTAAGGATAGCTTAGGCAGAGGTAAAACCTTTCTTGGGCTCTATAGATTAGAACAAAGGACAGTGTGTGGTGGCATGGGTCATGTATTTGTACTCTGTTGAGAGTACTTTTTTTAGCACAGTTGCCTCTGCGCTAAAATATTTGTCTTTCTAAATTTGTGTTGGCTGTCTGAATATATATCCCATGCAAACAAATAAGAATGTGTTTCTGTCCTGATAATTTTAAACTAATACTTTTTCTAACTTTATATGCTTACTACAGAAAGATATCTCAAATATGACACCTTTCTTGGCACTGTGACAAAGATGACACAGTGAAGCACTTAAGAAGTACATGTGCATATTAAATAGATTGTGTCCTAGATATCAAACTTCTGGAGCAAACAGTTGCATGTTTTACAGGGAGGAGATTCTCCTACAACATGCCAATTTATTACCCAAGTATTTCAAATTCACTTCTGTAGAACAAATATTCCAGAGGATAAGCCCTGAGGAGCTCTGGAGGTCTCATAATATTAATTTAGCATTCAGAGTTTTCATGTTTTCAAAGCATGCATGTAATTTTTAGTTATCATTAAAATTGTTTTTCAGCTTAGTTTGTGATGTACGATTTTATTTTTCTTTCTGGGAAGTACATTCCCAATCATTATAGAACCTGTATAAATAATGGCAGATGTTTATGAATTTTTTTTTGGGGGGGTGTATCTGTTCATTCCCAGATCTTGCTCTGAGATGCTTGGTTGAAAGTTACTCAGCTTGCTGTGGTGGAGAAAATGAAGAGCCCGCAGCAAAACGCTGTAGGACTGCTGCGACAGAGGTGGCTCCTGACACTGCTGCTGAGAGTGACAGCAACACACAAGACCATAAGCCTGTAGCTGGAATTGTCATTGCTCTGTGCTGCCACCACAAGTGTGACTGGACACATTATGTAGGCAGAGAGTTCTTCAAATCAGTGGGACTGGGACCAGTAGAATTCCATTATTTCCAGAGAATGAGTAGTTGGGCCACTTGTGGCATGCGAGAAAACACAAGCAAAGCCTCTACAAGTGAGGAAAGTGAAGACCAAACTAATGACACAGAAGAACATGAGCAAACATTCAGCACGGCAGAGAGTGGTTCTGATACATGGCAAGGGTATGTAATTTTTTTTTCTAGCAAATGGGCTCCAGCAGAAAAGCCAAATTATGTATAGTGGCACATTAAATTGTTTTGGGTCCTCAAAAGGACTCATTTTGCAGAAACATTTTAATTACTAAACTTACAGAAATACTTGACTTTAAAAACACAGTTTTTATGGATGCACATTTCAAAATATATCAACAGTCACGGTTGCCTGACTGAAATGAACTTACAGTGATTTCAGTAGTTTCTCTAAGCTTAACTACTAATGTTAACTAACAAAACTATTCCTCTGACAGAAGTTGTTCATTCTTTTCCTCCCTTTTATGACACCAGGATACTTACTGTTGAAGAGCGAAAGGAGATAGGGTGCCTCTGTAAACGGCTGATTGATCACGGACGGATTGAATATTTACAACACCAAGGATACAAGGCTGCACTACAGTATTATACAGAGTCTGCTGTATCCCTGGAGAATGTCCTGTTGACAGCTGTCCCAAGTCCATCTTTGATAACAGAGCCAACTACATGACAGGAGATAGATTTGGACTTGTTAGGGAAAAAAAACCCTAAAAAACTTATCTGGATTTTTTTAAAAAGCTAATTCAATGTTTACAAAAAAACCTGTTTAGTCTTTCCTGTACCCAGGAAAAGGTCTTGTATTTCCCAGTTTCACTGGGAATTACACATATGCAAACCAGTTCCCAATAGTGGAAAAATAAAATCCCTAAGAATATTTGACACCTGTTGTAGGCCTCTTTGCTGGGAAGAAGTATACTTGGTATTGTCTTCCATCCTCAGTTACACTTCTTTATTCATTAGGATTTATGATAGGAGGATCAGAAGTACAACTTTCCAGATTTCCTGAAAGACAGGTGAAAATAAGAGAGGAAATAACATACTTTATTTTCACTTTGAAGTTCAGGATAGCTTTGTGTTTCCTCTTAAATTATTTAAGTAGACCGAGGTTCTTTCATCAGCCTGTGCTGCTAGGGGAATCTATTAAGGAAGAAAACTAACTCATAAACTGTCTTCTTGATGTATTTTTGCTAATTTGATTATTCATTCATGAGATATTGATAAGAAAAAAGCTGGTCTAGTGTTCTAAATCAAGAGAATTTCATTAATTTTTTAAGCCTTCACAAAATACAGAATGAAGATCAGAGAGAACATTTTATATCTGCAATGAAGTGCTCTCTGCAAGAAGCAGCTGCCACCTGCACATCTGTTCAGAAGTGTTTGTTTTGGCTTCTTACTGCAACATTTAAACTGTTACCTTTGAGGCTACAAACAGCAAGTTTTTGTCATAGTGTTTAAGAAATGGGAATAAACTGTGAGGCTGTTTTGTTTAGGTGACTGATAGTGTCAGGGAAAGCAAGTTGTGAGAAACATCTGTTTATCAGGTGTTGATACTTCATTGCTAGAAGATGTATGTTGGGAACATAAGCATCTCTCCCTTATTCCTTCTTTGGTAGTACCATCTGGACAACGTCCAAAAATAGGAAAAGTTGAGCTTCCTGAGATAAATGGTGCTGTAAGACCCACACTAGGTAAACTGATTAAATTACAAATACAAAAGACAGCTTCTACTCATCCCGGCTGTAGGTAACTCAGGCACTTTTATTCCAATGTTCCATGGTTTCTGTCTGTTCCTACCAGAATATATGCTGTTTGGGTGAAGACCTACTGTGCCAACTCCTGATAAAAGCGCCCCCTGCCCTCAGTAAAAATTGGTTTACAGATTTTTTGGAAAATGTTATTCATTAATTAAGAAGACTATTCATGTTTCATTTGTGTACGTATCCTAGATTTTCTTTATCCAGTTTGTCCTTCCCTTTTTCACTGTACTCCAGAGATCAGAATTAATAAAAGAGTCATACCTGTGTTCTTGAGGGACTCCTGGATATACATGTGCATGAAGTCAATGCCAAACATTTCCCGTTGCTCCTCCTCTTCTGTATCCTCACACGGAGGGAGTGTTACCTCTAGCTCCAGTGGGTTGTCTCTGAAGTTGACAAATCTGAGAATGCACCAGAAACGGTTACCTTTGCAATCAGTTTTGTGCAGAGAAAACAATTCTTTTAAAACTGAATTAAGATTTCTCAATCAGTATTTTGAGCAAAACAAAGTTTTGCTATACCAAACCCTCTATCAATATTATTAAGCTAAGAAGACACTTCATAATAACAGTGGCTGATTGTGGTGGGAAAAACCATTGCAGTCCTTGTCACTGTGTGTTCAGGTTTTCACCCTGTTGTCAGGTGTACTGAGCTTCCACAAGCACAGGAGTTTTGAGAGCAACAGAGCAAATGCCCCTCCCAGCTTTGCAATGCAGTAGCCAGTCCTGACTCTCTTTGTCCTAGGTCCATCCCTGGACCTATGCATGCCTATATTTGGTTTAAGAGGTGTTTCTGAAACAGCTGGGAACAGCAATTGTCCTACTGGGTTAGACATGATTTGTGTGGACTAGCATTCTTTCTCTAAAATGGCCAGCATCCAGGAATCCAAATGAAAATGCAAACAACAGGAAAGTTTCTGTCATGGTATACAAAGTAGTATTTCATATTCAATTAAAAATTTCCATTATTTTTTATTTTTCATATCCTTTCTTCCATGTCCTTATATCTTAATCATTTTTGTTTAATTCTGAATGTTTGATTTCTCAGTGGCAAAGTTCTACTTTTTGCCATTTTTATGCCTGTCACATATTTTCCTGCAAGCTTTTGGCTTTAGAGAGTGATATAAAAGGCTAATTATGGGGGGGGCATGAGGACATTATGGAAATGAGAAAATGTATTACAGCCTACTCTTTTTCATTTGGGACTGTAACTATCATAGTTTACTTCTTTAAATAGGTTTCACTACACAAAGGTTGCTTGACCAGATCCTCAACTGTTGTGAATCTGTGCAATTATGCTGATTTCTATGGTATTGTGTCCATCTGTACAACTGTGATCATGCCTTTTCTTTTCCTCTTCCTTACTATCATTCTATGATATACAACTCAAAGAAGGCTTTAAAACTTATCTTCTAGTACTTCTATTTATATTTCTGTTGCTTTTTCTTACCTCAGATTTGTCATATCCTTCATACAGGCTGGAATACCCTTAAGTTTGTTGTTGCTAAGAACAAGAGTACTAAGATTTTTCAGGTGACAAATGGTTTCTGGCAAGAGAGTTTATCTCATTCCTTTGGAGCCATAAAGTGTGGAGATTTTCCATTCTGAAAAACAGGTATTTGTGCACTCAATCAAGATTTAGAAAATTAATCTCATCAATCATTACTATAAAATAAATATTTTTTCAGCCACATAAAGGACTCTTATAATGCAACAAGTCTCTAAGGAAACCCCTATCCAAGATAATCACCTAATCTCTGTTTGAAAATGTCATTGGCAATAAATATTTAACCTTATATTGTTAATTGAGTGGATTATTCCAGCTCAGCCAAAACATCACTTCAGAGCTGACAAAATCTTAAGTTTGCAGTGAAGTTAACATAAAAATTATCTTTTGAAGTAGCATTTAATAATCAGAATCTCAATGCAATGGAATTGAGACTAGGATGAGCTTTGAGTTTTATTTACCTGTCAATTGCATCAGGAAGCTCCTGGAGTTTATTTCCCCCCATATCTAACCATTCTAGATGTGGCATGTTGAGAAGAGCTGAAGGGATGGTAGTAAACTGATTCATGCACAAATCTATGTGTGAAAGCTTCTTTAAATCACTGAGCTGAAAAGAAGCGGAGATTTAATGCAAGTCTGTGTAGCTGTTGCAGCATTACAGCAGTGCTCTAACAATGTTAACAAACATCACAACACATTTTGGAGCTAGTTAACACAACGGTTTCTGAGCTACAGGAGCTCTGGTATTACCTAACAGTTACAGTTCTCACCTGAAGGTAGGTAGGTTTGAAACTGGTCAGGCAGAAGAACTTTACCTCACCCGGTAGCAAGTGCTGAGAGGCTGAAAGTCATGACTACAATGCATATGTGCAATAAGCCTCATGGAGAAAGAGAATTTTAAAGACAGCACTGTTCTTAATATGTCATACTCCATGCAATATGACATTTTTCATTAGTCAGATATTTAGATTTTCATGCATCAAATTGCATGGACTGTATTCTAGAGTGGACCTTGACACTTTTCATGCTGTAAAGTCTACTAACATTCTCAAAATGCAATATAGTGTCATTCAGTATTGCAGCACCTGAGTCTTTTGGTGAATTAAGTCTTCAGGAGCTGTTACAATGTTCAAGTGATACAAAGATAATTTATAGCAGATCTGGTCCAACTGTCTAAACACTGAATGCCACTCAAGTACATACAACAAAGCTTCACAGCGATCACATCACCATGGTCTCGACAGGACAGAACTATGGATTTGCTATGAGCTGGTAGTTTGAAAGCCATCACTCTACATTACACCATGTAACCTGTACCCATGTAGATTTTGTAAATCCTGGATTTTGGTTAATAGTGTATATTTCCATTTGAAGATTTGATGTTGGGTATCGCTGTCTGGATTCACTCAATTTTGCAAGGCACTGATTGCTGTCAACCATTGCCCCTAATGTGTTTTTAACTAAATTAAAACAAGTGTATATGGTTACATATTTTTCATCTCTATCTAAGAGACTAAGAGATGCAGGTTTCTCTCACATGTAGGTCAGTTCAAATTAAAGCTCAATAGCAGGTGAGCAGTTGCTTTTATTGCTTTCAATATTTGAGAACAACAATTGTTCAGCTCCACACATAGGCAGTTGTGTAAATCACACAAACCGTTTTCAGAGCGAGTTGTTCTGGTCAAGATGTTTACAGCTGTGTCCTGGCATATGGCATGAATTTCTGCTCTCAGCCATAAAAGAGAACTTCTCTCTGCTAAGGCATCAGATTCTCAGTGGGGTAAATCAGTGAAGACATTCAGCCTAAGCAGACTGACATGAAGTGTATCACTGCCCTGTATGCACTGCCAAGCCATTTCTCTGGACAAAATAAAGACTGGCTCCTTCAGCTACTCGGGTATGCCTTTCTCATGAGGCTTCAGTTTGACTAGTCATAGAAATGCTGTTCACATCAGGGTTTGTGTGGATTAGTTGTGAAATCAGAGTATCACAACAAATCTGAAAACACAGAGTGCAACCTTTAATGATAATTGGGTTTGGATAAATTCAAAAAATGTGCAATAAACCAAAAGAAAACAGTCTGTCCAAACCTGAGGAGGAAGGTCACAGATACTCCTGTTGACAGCCAGTTCTAATCTTTCCAGACTGATGCAGTTACTTATTTCCTTCGGAACTGACTTGATTCTGTTGTAGCTGAGAAGCAGCTCCTGGAGGCTGGTCAGCTGACCTGAGAGCACAAATGGGATATGAGGAATGCTCATGTTCATTCTATTTGAACTACAATATTACTTGTTTTGTCTTATCCTTTAACTGTTATAGAAATGCTCTGTGTTCTCACAAAGTTAAAGAAAAAAAAAGAAATCACTGAAATGCAAGTAGTAGGACTTCAGGACTCTTTAGTACACAGCTGCATTCTAAAACCCCCAAACTAAAAAATTATGAATAGGCTACTCATGCTGTGAACTCAGAACATGAAGCCTGCTTTTCCATATCACTTTTCTAGCTGCATTCTGATGTCTAGTCCCTGCGGTGCGTGCAGACTTTTTTTTTTCCATGGGGACCTTTCATAAAGATATGTCTCTTCCATCCAGTTATTTTTTAAATTTGTAGGCAATCTGTGGTTTGGAGATCTCTATCTCAGTCTCAGATTTAAATCATCTGTTTTCTAACTACCCAACAAGATTCTTAGACAGAGAAAGGGCACAAAAATGGCACATTTGTGCAATTTTCTTAGAAAAGCAGCTTAAAAGAAAACACAGCTCACCAATTTCTTTAGGTACACTCTCAATTGAGTTCCGGGATAGATCCAGAACAACAAGACTCTGAAATCTTCCAATAAATTGAGGGATTTTCTGCAGACTAGTTCTATGGAGCTGCCATTCCTGGAGATGGGCTAGTTTCAATAAGCATGAAGGTAGAGTCTAAGACAAGAAATATGAACCAGAAGAAATTCAGCTTAGTATACAAGAAGAATACAGGCTGAGGTAGAAATCTGATTTGAAACACAGTCTTTCATTCTTCTTAAGCTATACTGTAATATGCAGGTTACAAAATGAATCCTGGCAATTGATTTCCAAAACATGCTAAAAGTAGCAAGCATAACTGATACGATTTCAATATCATATATATTAGGAAAAGGTTTATATTTTATAAGGGTTTATATCAATACATTAGGAAAAGGTTATCCCTTCAGAGGGTGGTTGGGCACTGGAACAGGCTCTCCAGGGAAGTGGTTACAGCACCAAGCCTGACAGAGTTCAAGGAGTGTTTGGACAACACATGGTGGGATTCTTGGGCTGTCCTATGCAGGGCCAGGAGCTGGAATCTATGATCCTTGTGGGTCCCTTCCAACTCAGGATATTCCATGATCCCAAAATGAACACCACTGTGGGCTGTCATTGTGATCACAGATTTAGCCTGCCCCCTTTTTGCTCCCAGTATTTACACACCTGCACTACTGTCATTGCTTGACAAGTCTGAGCCTTGCTTTGGTTGATTTGTTTCTTTCTTTTTCTTTAAACAAGGTCAATATAACTGAAGATGAAACTGCTCTAAATTTCTGCACATAGAAGGAGATTTAAATTCTGTTTTGTAGTCTATTAAGAAAAACAGTGAGAGCTGAGAGCTGAGGATTAGAAGAACTACAATGTATACAAGGAGTCCCAAACAAGAAACACTGGCCTATGGACCACCAGGCTATTGCTGGCCTGGCTCTCTCACTGCCTCAGCACGGTCTAATTCTCACCATTCCACAGGAACTGCTATCTGCATCTCTCTGTGGCTCAGAGGTCTGTGAGCTTCCACTCTGCCATTATAAGCAGTGGCTTACCCCCCATGCATCAGAAACAACAATAATAGTGTTCTGGGAATCTACTGGCTTATTTTCACTCTTAGAAAGTAAACTATGGTAAGGACTATTTTCATGCACCTAAAACAACAGAGGGTTTTCACCTTGATACATTTCAGTAGTTCTGGTGTGTTAATGTTAAATGAGGATTTATGTGATGAAACTCGTAATTTGGAATTTAAATAATTTCTGATGCAGAAAAGCCTTTTAGACTGCATTTTTTCCTAAGAGTAATGCTTAATATTCATGACTAAAAAAAACCCAGCTTGCTTTTACACTCACAGCAACATGTCCCAATTCACTGTTAGCAAAGCACACAGTGAGTACTTAACAAAAATGGTACAACTGTGCAAGTGTAAAGTTGTAAATAGTAGTTTTCTAATCCATCAGTTATTCAACCCAGCAACATGCATTCCTATCAACACTGCCTACCTTCCATTCTTCTTCCTCTATCTTTAAAATTGCTCTTCCACCTTCATTGATAACTCTTTCTTTGAGCTTTGCCAAAGCAGCTCTCTCCTCCCAGACAAGCAGTAGCCTACAAGGGTCAGTGGTGCAAACAGTGAATACAGACCATAATTACTGTCCTATCTATTTTCTGGAAAAAGACAATAGCCTTTTTGGATGTCAAATGTTAATTATAGCTGGATGCTAAATATACTATCAATTTGAGGGAAGACAAGCAATTAATGTTCAGTTGAGGTAATTCTATATATAGGAATACTACTTGACAGTTCTTCAAATTTACATTCAGAAGGAGGACATAACTTAATTCACTTTCAGCATGTTGCAGCAGGGCAACAGAATATAAAGTCATGTGGAACCAAGTTCCAGAGCTTTAATTTTGAGGCAGTCTCCTAAAAAGAAAGCCTTCCATTACAACAAATGTAAGTTCAACAAAACAAGGTCAATCAGCAAGAGATTCTTTTAGCTTGATTTCCAAAGAGGACTTCAACAAGAACTATGACAATTAGGCTAATTCTCTTTCCTTCTGCTTGTATTTTCCATTAGTAGCTTTTGAATTTGTTATTCCATTTCGGACACATCTGATAAATCAGGAAGAGGTCTAAAGATAGAATGCTAGATTTCTTCAAAATTAAATTGCTGTCCAGACAGAAAACTAAGTGACCCCATTAATGCCTCTATGGAGAAGAAAATGTCACAAATCTCCACGAGTTAAAGTATCCACACAGTTATTTTACTATCTGACTTCAGGGGATTTAGTCTATGTATTAATATTTTTATCACAGACAGAGTTCTGGGTTTGACCGGACCATATTGCTAGATTCTAACCACTGGGAATTCTGCTGGAGTAACAGGAAAAGAATTAGAGTCTGGATGAGTTTGAAAAGATTAATTACAGTTAATCACCATATGCAACATATGGTCCAGCTTTTCACATACCTAAAGATCTAAATTTACCTACCTTCCTGCAGATCTCTGCCTGAATTCCTTCTCTTTCTGTAATTCTTCGTTTATCTTGTGTATTCTCACTTCCCAGAGTGTCTTCACAGCAGAGAATGTGCCAAGGCAAACTGCAGTTTCAGCCATGGTCCTTCACATGTTCAGATGCAGCCGTAGGGATCTGAGAGAACGCATCAGCCCATGGACCAATGACCACATGGGGACAGTGATGTGAGAACTAAAGCCCTGCCACACCCACTCCACTGTGTTACTACATGCAGTTAATGTACACAACAAACAGAATTTTACCATCTGCTTTCTCTTTACAAAAATAACAGCACCCAGTGAAATTTTCTTGTAATAAGAAATGGTATTCTTGCAGTGTCTGTATTCTTATTCAGCTTCTCTCAGTTCCTTCCAATGGTAGGCTGAGTAATCACCATAATTATTAACAGAGATTTGAGCATTCATTCCCATCCCAGGAAGAAATTAAGTTGTTACCTGCAATTTAAGGCAGTTAAATTCTGATAGCTGCATCCTGGCAGCTGACTGATATAAGCACTTGTAACTTAAGGAGTTTTGCACTTCACAAAAACTGAACTGTCCCTGGAAATAAATCAGTATACTTTATTTGCATTAATTTTCTTCATAGTTTAACTCATTATAATGCATTTTATAGTTAGTAATGCACTACCTTTAAGAAAAGGCTTACAAATTTTTCTGATTTGTTTGAATCTTCTTGTAGCCCTGCTGAGTGTCAGGATCCACATTTAAAAATCAATTCAGTTGAAAGTTTTGAAGTCATCTATTTCCTAGTGAGAAAATTAAGATATAGTTTTCTGAAAAGCAGCGAAGTAGGATACTCAGTCATCCTAATCAGTGCATCACTCTAAAACTCATTCTTATTGCCATTACTGTAGTCATTGGGGGAAAGGATTTGTCTTTTAGAACCAACCTTTTCTACTATATTTATTCCATTATAATTTTGTGTGGCCTGGATAAGCTACAATTGCTTAGTGAACATTTTTGTGTTCAAACTGTCAATCATTCTATTTGCTTACTATGTCTTTTGTTAACATACTTATTTGTAAAGCATGATTATACTGAAATAATTTAATTAAAAACGTGTAGACAAACAAAATGTAAAATATCAAGATTGCTTCCTGTTGTAAAAACAACATACAAATCAAATTATAATGCTCAAGTAAATAAGAATCTGGTCCAACACATTAATATTTAGGATTCTTAATTGTTCTCTGTTTGTTAAGGAAAAATGTCAGGATTTGACAAGTGACACAAATGGCAACCACAGTGTGGCACAGTGCAGTCTGGCATGTGGGTTCCAAAAGCATTGAATTTTTTCCTGTGAAGAGAGGACTGTATCCTCTTTCCCTCCCCCACATAACTGTGAGCACATTTGCTAGTTTGAAGGACTAACTTCTCTTACAGTGATCCTCACAGTGATTACCCTTCCCAGTCCTCATCCCAGTATGCAACAGTAATGCTATATATACATGAGGTCTTTTGCTCCAGTTAGTGGTTACAATTAAAATTGCCTGATTTTTTCAGGATTAAATTTCTACTGAGATCAAGTGATTGAAGTAATTTATAACTTCTTCTTTAGAGTTTGGTTTTTTTTGAACTACAAGCCCTTTTAGGTGGAAAACTAGAAATCCTTTTATATAAACCGTGCAGAAAAGGGATATTTGATAATACTACTACTAACCCAGTATCATATTTCACAGTCAAAACAATACTTGTTTTTAGTAAAGCTTACTCTGGGCAACTCCCTTTTGCTGTGGAAAGCATATGATTGAATAAGTGCTGCTTCAGAGCCATGAAATACGAAAGGGACTAAATATACATGACTTTATTTTCAGAATGATTTTATTATATAACAGGACTACCATCAAAAGCTTCTTGTTCTTAGATCTTATTATTTGTCAAGAAAATAAAACCCATAATAATCATGCCATCACAGCCAACACTTCAGGAGTGAATTCCCAACCAGCAGGTCTAAAACAACTGCAAATTTACTCCCAAGTAACCAGATCTCCTCACAAGCTCACCCCCAGGCATCAGAAAGAATTTAACGACAACTTACCTCAATTATTTGGTGTTTTCAAGGATTTTCTGTGACTCATTGCTTTCTGGACAAGAGCAGAGATATATTACAAATCTTGTCTGTATTACCAAAACCATTTAGAACTCTCAGACTCCAAAGTCAGTCTAGTTCTAATTTTAACCTATGCTGAGAATAGAAGGCATCACATGAGGCATTTCTGCAACCTCCCCCAAGCATTTACCACTGTAAAGCCTTCCCAGTTTGCTGAGCATAACTGGGCTCCCCTGAACTCCAGGACTCCCGCTTACAAAAGTTACAAATTATGAAAAAGAAGAACAAAGGAGTAATTGTTATTCTCTACAATGAGCTCATATTGAATTTAAAATAACAAAGATAAAAAAAGGCTAGTTTTGAAGTGAAAATGACAACTACTTGCTTACTATAATAATGTTTCTCTGCAAGATAACTGAGCTTCAAAGTGCTAATAAACAGCAACACAGACTGAATAGACTAGAAAAATATTACATCACTAAGTATTTTACTCAATACTTCTGCACATGCTGAAAAATTCTCTTGCTGAAGAATTTTAGTGCCTATTATCAAAGTCCAGACAGAAAAGTAATCTTTATCAAGATGTACAGAGGGGTTGTTACTCACCCCTTTTCATGCTTCCAATCATGAAACATTTTTAACATTCTATTTCTTCAAATAGTCCTTGGAGAAGATAAAAGGAGAACAGCTCTGTCAGAATCTTTGTCTTCAGTCAAATGGAAAGAGAGAAACAACAATAATCACAGGTCACTATTTGAGGCAGAAGCCATAAAACTGGATAATTCTAACCAAGTGCACTGGAGTTTAAATGTGAAGATAAACTTTTTAAAATATTGTGAGTTTGGTTATAAACCTACCGCACAGAACTTTATAATCAAAAAAAACCAAACCCATGCTTTTCAGTCCACCACCACCTAAAAACCAGAACACCAATACCTATTTGAAAGACACTAAGTACTTTAGCTTTCAAGCCTTTCAATCTTCTATACTTTTTTTATAAAAACTCAACATTATGCAAAAGCAGAAATTATCCAAAAGTTTCTTTGTTATAGGTATTTCTTCTTTCAGTTTTGGTATTGATTCAATCTCTCGATCTAAGCCATCGTAACTAAAAACCTAACTTCATTTCCTCCTCCTCCTTAAAGACAGATAATTAGGGGAAAGAAACTCAACAGCCCTCCCATTTACTGGAGTCTTGAGAGAAAATTTCAGGCTCCTTGTGCAAGTAAAATTATTCTATCTTAAATATTTCTAAATCACTTTATTGCTTTCTTTCAACTACTTATGTTTCCTCTGTTTATTTTCTCAGTGGTCATCAGATTAAAAAAATATCCTGTTCAGACTGAGCCCCTTACCACAACAATATACTTGCAGGAAAGGAGCCATTAGGCTGTGCTCTTTTGGTAGCCTTGAGTACAGCATGTTCAAGAGCAGAAGAAATAGTTTGAGTCACCTGTACAGAACTGCCTGCATAAAATTCACAAATAAAAACAGTATTACAATTCTTTGTGGCTTTATTTTTTTTTTATTAGGAATAAATAAATCTGATAAAAATGAATTAGGTGACAAGCATGATATATTAGTCAAACTTTGCAAGAAACGACCTTTATATAAAAGACCCTTATACCACAATAGAAATATAAATAGCACCTTACACGGATGCTCCATGCTCCCCCTCCTACATTACCAGCTTTTCTCTTGCTCACTCTCAGCATCAAGGATAGCAGGGATTCTTCTTCTGATAGCCTGTCTCACATTTTCACAGCTAAATGCAATAGACAACTGTGGTCTACACTTTTGCAGAATGCTCCTGGTTTTGATATATCTAAAGAAAGGAGAAAATGTCCATTTTGTGCATCACAAATTCATTTTTAAGGCCATATAACTGTCTTTTCTTGTGTCTGATTGCAATTTAGGTTTCTAAAAGGTATTTATATCCAATGGGTTTCTTCCTATCTCCCCTTAAATCACCACTGCCATCCTCATCCGTTTTGGTCACCTTAAAGCCACGTAACTGTTTTCTGTTCTGCAGGTGTTAACTTGAAACTATTCATTATGTGCCTCATATCTGAGTTTAGGAAGTCCTTATCTTACACAGTATTTCTTAATGTCCATGCTTTGTTGAATCTGGTAAATGCTAGTATCTGCAGGTCGATAACATAGTGCAAGCTTCTGGAACATGGTCAGCTTACTGTCAGTCTTACCTAATGTCAGAAAAACAAAATAAGATCCTTCTTTTTTCCTTTGTTTTCTCTTTCTTTCTTCCTTGTTTGGTTTTAACAGACACATATTTTCTATAAGAAACAAAAGTAACTGGGAAGCATTAAGGACTGAAACTACTTCCAGCTGAAAAAAATACAGGATATTCTAGAGAGTATTAAGGCCTTGATAGTTATAATAAGTGTTATCAGTAAGCATTTGAATAAATATGGCCTCTTCATTTATTGTCTGATAAAGAGTATCTGTGCAAGTAATTGCCAGGAAAAAGTGGACTAGCAAAAGACTTAAGAGGTTTACTCAGTTAAACAACAAAAAGCCCTCTTACAGCAGAAGCATTAAAGGCATTTTATTTGTATTTGATTTTTGCGTAATTCCTTTGGGGAATCTGGATATTATTATTCATTAAAATAAATTTACGTGTCCAACACGGAAGAACTATGAGTATTCCCCTTCAAAACAGGTTAATCAGATTATAAATACTGCAGGTGTAGAGCAGTGTCACTCAGTCCCACCAGCCTGAAAATTGTTATAAAAGGCACAATAAAGACATTCCACCACCATGTTCAGAAGCCGTGACCTATTCAGTTTGACAGTCTGCTGTAGAAGAAATTACAGCACTACTAATTAAAAGAAGTAACAACTAGATAGACTGATATCAGCTGCTGAGAACTTTTAACCACATAACATTATTTTATAATGCACGTAGCCAAGGGCACATGTTAGCAGAGACAGCTTTCATAACAATTCAGTCTAATCCACAACGTTTAAAGGCATGTTCTAGCCATGGTTTCCTTTATTTAAGGTCCAGCAGCATGGAAGCCGGGTTCTCCACGTAGGATTTCCACAGGTTAGAGAAGCGGGCCATGGTCGCTCCGTCAATGATGCGGTGATCAGCTGACCAGCTCACGTTCATTATTTGTGCCTTAAATACCTCACCTTTCCCATTAAACCGAGGGACAACCTAAAAATCGGAGGAAAGAAAAGCACTGAAATATTAAATACTTTCATTAGCAGATCTGTATTTTTTTGGTATTAATTTGTTGATCTAAATTTAAACATTTTGCTAAATTAGACAGCAGTAACACCCTTCAAAAAACCAACACCTTCCCGTTATTGTTTGTGCTGCAGATCAGAATATATTGCAAGCCAACATAATAAACAGTCACATCCTGCTTCCACCATTGTGGAAATACTGAGGTACTGAAAACCTTTCTTGACTCAAAAGTTTCTTTTTGAATAGTTTATTGCACTGTTAGTTCTCAAAGCGACTGTTTCCTCAAAGCATCCCCTGAACAAAATGCTCACAGGCTAGAAGTAGTCACTATAGTTTAATTTCCAGCTTCGATCTCAAATGCCTATAGGAAAGAATTAAGGGCTGAAATTCAGAAAATATAAAACTGCCTTTGCCACACAGATTTCTGTATGGATTCAGCTATCTGGCTCATGAAATTATACTTCATCATCAGGAGTTTTCTCCTTGATGATAGGAACAATGTTATCACCATGTTGCAAAATTTGTAAAAATATATTTATGTTGTTTCCTGATGACTAGAAGGCTAAACATAGATATGAGTGAAATATAACAGGATTCTAGAAAACAAATCTGAACCTTTGGTGTAAAAGACTTTTAGTTAAACATTTGGTGCCTGTACAGTCATCTAAAACCACCACAAAACTTTGCAATCACAAGCTATGCAATTTCTCTGATACAAAGAAATGTTTACAAAAGAAAAACAAAACAGAGACTCCAGTTTCACTTTCATTACAAATGACCTAAACACTCATATCACTGAGATGAAGTTACTATACCTGTATCTTTCCAAGTGCTCCAATAGCTACTTCAGGAGGTAGTATCACTGGTTTGGCATAAGTGCCACCAATCTAGAAAAGAAAAAGCTGGGGATATTATTTACCAAATAGTTTGGGGTTTTTTTAGAGCACATTGCATCTTGCTACAGGTTTTGTTCATTGTATATTAAACTTCAGTAAAGTTTTCATTTCAGAAGGAGTTTTCAGATGTTCTCTTTTTTCCTGTACTTACTGTGCCAATATTTGAAAGGGTGAATGTTCCCCCCGTGAGGTCACTTGTTCCCAGCTGGCCTGCAGAGCCCAAGGACTGCAGGCGATTCAGTTCAGCAGCAATGTCAAACACACTGCACACCTGGACGTTTTTCACGTTTGGGACAATTAACCCTTGCTCCGTGTCCATCGCAACTCCAATGTTGTGCGAAGCCTGCAACAAGGTTCATTAGCTGCACGTTATTACAGGCTGTCAACATAAAATGTATTTTACATAAAAAGGCACTTAAATCACATCTTCCTTATTTATCTTTTTAACCTAGAAAGTGCTGTCTGTAGTAAACAACTCCTTTATACAATTTTGAGGGGAGAAAAGGATGTAAATTTTTAAATATTAGCTTTCCACACCTGCAAATTGTTGGCAATTTCACACCCAGGGAATACAAAATCCAGGAATTAATTGCACACTGAAAACACTGAACTTTAGGATGATTGTAAGCCTAACAAAACATAAATAGCAGATTTTAAAGAGAACACTAAAACTGAAAAAAAAAGGAAACTCAGTTGCCTTTCATTTGCTAGAAGGAATATAAGGATTCTGAGAGATACTGATCAAAGAGCAGAAAAGGAGTTTGCACTGCAAGGGGCACATACACATCACTCAAGAAAATAGACACCAGCTTCCCAGAAGTATCAATCCAGCAGTTGGTATGAAAATTACATAATTTTTATCAAAACTGAGTTTAAAACATTACTTTAATACATAAGGGTTGAGTGTTGGAACAACAGTGCTATTACTAAAAAATTGTTGTATTGGATTTTTAAGTGTTCTCACTTTAAATGCTTGGCCCATATTCAGGTGAAAAATAAGAAATCACTACATTAATATGCAATTGTGAGGCAAGCCTGAATAACTAAGTGACTCTTGTTTAACAAATTAATGAAGTAAGTTCAATAATAAATCAAATCCAGATCTTAGAATGTGGACACACAAATTATTTTCCAGTACAACACCACAGTGTTGGTTTTAAATTAACTTAGACATTCTGAAAAGCCCTTGTTAGCTGTTATTTTAGGTTTTCTGCTCACAACTTTTATCAGTAATTTACAAACCTTATATGTGACATTTTGACAGTTTTCATCCAAGGAAGCATTAAGAATTGGATACTGCAATAATCCCAAAGAGGCTGCCTGTTAAATATAAGGGAAAAAAAAAGATAGATAGATTTTTATATTTTATAACCAGAAAGCTCCATGGAAAGGAAGTAATGGTAGGAGATAATTTAGGTTAATAACAATACAGATTTCCTCAATGCAATCAAATTTGGCTTAAAATCTCCTTATGTGTCTGTTGATACTTTGTCATTATTAGGATAGCAAAAAAAAAAGAACTTGCAAAACCCAAATATACATCAGACATATAAAAAATGATAATTCCTTTCCCCACTATAATTGAAGTTGAATCTGCATTTGCTATTTCTGCTCCACAATTCAAATCAAATATCCCAAAAGTTCTGAGATTCAGCTGCAATGTCATTCTCAGTTCTCAATTTAGATGACAATTTTTCAAGGAAGTAATATTAATTGTCCCTAAAGACAGTGAGCAGGATGAGAGCTTACACAGCACTCTAACTCAACCAGCATCACCAAAGGTTTCAGGTAAGCTCTGCTTTCAGTGCACAGTTTAGGCAGTGAGTGCATCAGTAGGAATATGGAACTGCATAGCAGCTAAATGAGTGCAAGTGCCTGGTCTTCTGAATAATAGAAGAGACACACTGATTCACCTTTTATTATTCAATTCACCATTCATTATTCAATTCAAATTATTCAGTACCAATGCTGTAGTAATAATAATAACAACAACAACGATGCATTTCATGTGAGGTTCATTTTAAAGGAACTTTAAAAATTAGATAGCTCCCAAAATTTGTTTTGTGCAATTCCAACACCTGGCGATGTTTACCCCCATACTGAATGACACTTAAGCTGCTCTATCCTTCCCCATTAATATTTCAAAAGTTTTCAATGATATTATATAACCCTCACTGCAATGCCAACTGTAAATTGATAAGCGGGTCAATAAACACGAAAAGCTGAGACTTTTCTTGTGATCTGTCATAATTCAGGTGATAGAGAGGTGCTCCAAACGTACAACAATCACTGAAAACATCTTGGCAAAAGCAGTGTAAATATTCCATTCCGTGCTCTGCTGCACATCTCACCTTTATGAAGAAAGGCATAAAGGAAAGCTTAACTCCACGGCTCTCAGCCAGAGCCTTCAGCTCTTCTCGCAGCTGAACAAGCTGAGTCAAATCAATCTCATCACAGTAACCAAAGTGGGGGATCTTCAGGGCTGCACTCATAGTCTTTACCATTGCCTTCTGAAAACCTGGAAAATATTTACTGACTTCTTAAACCAACAAAACGAGCTTCTGTGAATTTATAGTGACATCTAATTATTTGTTTCCATTAATCAAATTACACAACTTACAAAAACTAAACCAAACCAAAGCTAAATCACAAAAAGGACAGGGTAAAGAACACTTCAGGATCATCAGTTATTCAGTATATGTAACTCAATTTTTACAATGTAACACCTCACATTATATTACTGCATGTCTCTCCTACGTATGTATGAATTGGAAATCACGATATCATTATCTGCATTACTCTTTCCAGCCTCCAAAGAAACACTACTTGAAAGGCAAGCAAAAAACTTTTATCTTCCCCTTTTAATATGCTTTATTTTTTCACCTTATTGTCTTTTGTGGCACTCTTCTCCAGAACAATGTGAATGCTGAAGTACGCTGTTATTAAGTGCTGATAAACCCTTAAATCCACTGCACTTTGCCACTAACTGCATAATGATTCCTCTGACAAACCCATGTTTCAGAACTCCTACATCTTTCAGCACACATTTGAAGAATGAGCAAGTTCAGTTTGCAACCCAACTCCATCCAACCAAAACATGAACAAATCTTTCATAAAATGATTCCATCAGAGACGCTTCTTACAGTCACGCTCCCTGGCATGACAACAACGTGAAACCCACCCCCACCAGAAGGAGTCAGCTTTTCACAGAGCAACATTTGAACTGGTAGTCTACTGTGAACATGGTCTCAAGATTTCATATTTCTTGATTTACCTGTTACAGGTTCAGTTTTATCTTTTCCTGAAAACACAATGGGTCTGGAAACAGGTACTGGGATTTTGCGTGCTTTGTCCTTTGGAGCAGCTGGCACAGTCTCTGATTTTCGCAAAGGTGGGACAATTTCAGCCTTTGGTGATGGAGGTAAAATAGCTCCTGTTTGTTTGGCCAAGTAATTGAGTATGTCTTCTTTAAGGATTCTGTTATCTTTCCCTGTTCCAACAATTTCGCTCAACTTAATCTGAAAAGTACATAACAAGCTGTGACACTTCAGTTTTACAGCAATATAAAAATATCCTATATTGTGAGCTATGGTTAAAAATTATTCCCATTACCAATCCAACATACCAACAGTTTTCTTTCCTGTTCTGTAATTTATTAGGTACTTAACCTAATTGTTCCAATCGTCCAAAAGTCCCACTCTTTAGTTGCATATTTTAAGGAGGAACTATGAATACTACTTACCTCTTAATTACTTCATAGGATCAATAGTGAAATATGAATCTGAGGAAAGCTATTTGTGACTTAATTTTCTCTACTTATTGTTTTATTTTTCTCCTAAAAGTGCATCACAAACTTTCAAAACTAATGGAATATTCACAGATTCATAGGGAAAAAAAGGCATTAAAAAGACACTTAAAAAAAGATCACCTAGTATAACCTCTGCGCTAACACAAACCTGAACAACAGAATAAGCTGGCTACAACTGAGATTTTATTTTTCCCTCCTCCTTCTTCTGTCCTGGGATTTCTTATCTTCAGCCTAAAGCATCTGAGCTGCGTTTTAAGCCCAGTAATTCATTTTCTATCCACCATAATAATCAGAAAGCACAATAGTCTTCATTTCACAGCAGTTTTCACACATTCAAAATTATTTGAAAACAAGTCTTTCCTCTAGATCAATGTTCTTGTAGTCAGTCAAAATGCCATATAAAAGCTGGATAAAATGCAACAGGACCTTATTCAGCAAACCTACATTGTTCTCCATGGCCAGGCGACGAACTGCAGGGGTTGCTAATGTTTTGTGACCTTTTATCTCCTGGTGAGTGTGCTCTTCATGAGACATAGGAGGGGTTTCAACAACATCTTCTTCTGAGGCAACACCTGCAAATGAAAAGAAAAAAATTGACTTTACATGATGAGCATTTGTTAAATTCCAACTTTGAGCATTCTGTGATAGCTGAAGTTTTTAGCATTTACTCTGAGTTACTTGTGGATGGGAACACAGCTTGCTATAGGCTGCTGCTTAAGCTAAATAGTCAAAAGGATATATCCGGCTTTTGAGATTTTAAATTCTAATAAAATATAACAACTTTGTCTACTCAATTTTCTTGACTTTATAAAGGGAAAAAATATTACTTTTTAAGATTCTCAGGAAGAAAAAGTAAACTTCTCTGTCACTGATGTTTTCATGACAACAAACATAAAATATGCAAGAGAAAAAAATATCTTACAATACCTTTTGAAGCATCAATTTCAATGTCCACTAACGGTTTCCCAACAAAAGCAATATCATCTATACTGTAATGGAGTTTTCTAATGACGCCATCGTAACGACTGGTGATAGTAACAGAGGCCTTATCACTTTGTACCTCACAGATGCTGTCAAACTGAGACACACTGTCACCTTCCTTTATATACCTGAGAGAAAAGACACAGGCTACTGTAAGACACAAATAAGTGTAAAAATCTGTGCTGGGTGTTCTTTTGTTAAGTTCAGTTATGTACATGCCACAACACGGAAACGCATTCCAGACAGGAAGATAAATTCTCCATAATGGATACATTTGCTGTGCACTTTGCCTGGCTGCTGCAGAACCCTTTGTTGTGTGAAATGACACAATGATTTAGAGTATTGTCAAACACATTACACTGACTTTGGTAAAGCAGAGTTTTCTTGTCAGATTATAAATCATGTAAAATGTAAGAATGAGCCCAGCTTGGTCTGAATCTAAGGAAGTTCTTACTTTCTAACTGTCAGGATCAGTATATGATCTTCTACAGAAAGAGACGGGAATTTGTACAAAGAACAAGGCATTTCAGCACTGCCTTCCCTCACTGTACACTTTAATTTTGATTAATCCATTCATCACTGGCCTTTTACAAACAATTTCAAAGTTCAAATCTTGTAATAAAATCAGTAGAGAAGGGGTATAGGATAAAAATACATGGATTTGCTGGGCTAGTAATTTGTTTCTAAAGCTCAGTCTAAGGAAACATAATAAAAGACAGACCTCCTGAACACTGAAAACACTGATCACTGAAGGAAATCCTATACACAGGCACAATTAGGGCATCCCATTCCTTCCACCTTTTCCATTCACAAATAAACCAGACTACAGATAAACAAAATGTAAAGTTCAGTATGTCCCAGGTTTTAAAATCTGGAAAATGAAACTTGAAAAGCTTCACTAGTAACCCTGAAAATATTTTCTCAGACAACTAATTTATAACAAAGCTAAAGCTGTTAAATAACCCCTTGATTTCTTAGTATATTTCTAAGAAAGCAGAGCTTACCATTCTTTTACAGTCACCTCTGTAATCCCTTCTCCAATGTCAGAAAGCTTAAACTGGACAATTTGGCCACATGAAACTTAAAACAGACAATAGGAAAATACAGCATGTTTAATATTAAATACAAGATATCAGGCAGAAAAATCTGAATGCATCAGAAAGTTTACATACCAGCCATATACAAGCCTCTATCATAACACTCATAAAATAGCAAAATAAAATAAATGATTTTATTATGAAAAAGATTACCAGCAGATGTTCTGAATAATCGCTGTTGATGACTAAACTTGAGGGCAGATTTGTCAAACACGCACACATATTTTGATTTTATAACACGAATGCTGCTGCACGATCTAACACGGTGAATGCACACCTGGGGAGAAAAGTCTCAAGTGTTAATACAGTGCACTGAGGAACGCAGAGCTCATTTAATATTCCTGACGCAACATAATTCTAAAATAGTTTCATTCTAGTCTATGTAAGAGAAGTTCTTAAGCAAACACAATTGCACTGAATACATATTTAACCATTACACTGGCATAAGCCTTGCCAGGTCTTTGACTTCTTTCACTAACACAACACAGGGGGAGATCAAAGCCACAAGAAAATAACAAATTAACAAAAATCATTGCAAGATCTGGTAAGAGATTCATACTTGCTATTGTTTCTCTAAGGAATTAGCTTAATCAGGACATGCACACACAAAGCACACATAGTATCAACTACAGCAGCCATCTGAAATATTTTTATCCAGAATGAATGCTGGAAGGGGCTCCTAGACTGCAGGGAAAAGCAGCATATTTTTCTTCATCAGTTCTTATTCCAATCAAAGGGTGATCAGAAATACTAACTGGAAAGGAAATTCACACCAGAGGGCACAGAAAGTTGTCCTTTCATTTTTGTTAATATATTAAGAGGCAGTCATCTTCAAGTAAATATCATTTCATATAACTTAAAAGACCTTTTTTTAAGAACTGGGCATTAGATGGTTTTCTTTCATGGTTACAATTATATTTATCCAGAAAACAACTTAAAAGGGTCCACAGAATTTTCTGAAAGGTTCTTCAGACGAAACCTTATGCTTTAAAGCATCATGTAATCAGTCATGATTGTGGTCAAAGGCACAGCCAGTAGTACTTGCATTGACATAAATAGGTATTTTATTAATCTCAACACAAGTTAGTCCAGACATCTTCTTATTTAGTAAAATTTAACTTTAATGTAATTCTGATGTTATGTTGTCTCAGAGTGCTGTAAAATTTATAAAAATAATAATTTCTCTGTGGATACTATCTCTAATTAATTTAGAGATATGAAAAAATTCAGGTGCTACAATGTACCTCAAGTAGCTCAAAACTGTAAAATTTAGAAATTGTCTTCTTAGAGGAGCCAGAAAACAGCACACCTGCATGGGAAAGTTCATTTTAACTTCTTTTTTGAAAAACCCTTTCAGTAATTACAGAGCATACAAAAATTCCTGGTTGCCCTCCCCCCACCCCAAACTGTTCAACTATTTGATATTACGTCACGCTTTTTAAAAAGTAGAATATTCATGAAGCCATAAAATCCTGACAATGTAGGCATTTTATGTACTGTTTAATCCAGCATTGCAAGCTATATTTAATATCATCTTTCTTTAAGGAACGAGCATTTATACAACACAGTCTACCACAATGGACACAACAAAGTTACATTGTATGAGTTACTTTACAGCCACCTGCTATTAAGGTGGTATCTACTGATCTAGAATAAGTATTTTTTCTAACTCCTATAACAAGCAAACAGAAAATCCTTTTCATTAGTCCTCCAAACAACTTTCCCTATCCAACAATCAGGTTACATGGTAATTTTAAGCTATGGAAAATCCTATTTTATGAACACATTTAAAATTCTCATTAGATTACAAAAGTGGTATATCACGTACATCTTCACAAGCCTATTTTCCCCTATTTTTGATCCTGATATTTTTTCCCCCTGAATGTTACATAAATATGTTGCAAGAAAAGGTGACAAGGCCTTTTTGTCCCAAACTTACAATAAAATTCTTTTCTCTTTATATGACCCTAAATGAAAAACATTAAATATTTACCTGTGAAGATGATCACAAGGAGCACATCAAATCTCTGAACTATTTCTAAATGGGAAGTTTCACAATGATTTCCATGTGTTTTTAACATTTGGTAACCAGTGCAGGTAGTGATTTAGTAATGTCACTGCCAAAAAAAGAGACTGGTTTTGTTACAGAAAAGTTACCATGATGTTTCATATTATATTTGTAGGCATAATTCAGAACTCCTGCATTTTTTAAAAATGGAATCTTTTTGGTTTGCAGTTTTGCAGATTCCTTACTAAAAAGTTGGTGTGCTAGTATGTTACAGTAGTAAGACACTGCACAATCTCTTCATAGAACACTGTTCTTTCTTAAAAAGAAAAATATTAAAATCCAATACATGAAGAGATTGCACTTATTAATTTCAGTATTTAATCAGTACTATTTTCCATGTAATGGCAAATAAGGAAATAAAAAAGCATAAAAAAGGACAAAATTAGCTCTAATACCCATAGCATACCCATCCACACATCTTGATGACTGGAAAAATTTAGCAATAACAACCCAGCAAGTCCAGTACTATCAGTTATGTTTATGTCACCACTATTACACTCTACTGCAATTCAAAGGCAATAATGGCCCAGCAAGACAACACCTTTCCTGGGCAAGAATTGATGTGCAGAGTTACTCTGGCAAGAAGAAATGAGAGCCCACCCAGCCCCTGGCCAGTTCTGAGGACACATCAGCCTGTTGACCAAGAGCTGTGGTTTGAGCCCAGCCAACACGGGAGCTGCTGCTGTTTGGGGGAGAACTGCCTTGCCCTTAGGTTCAGGTTTGGTTGTTTCCTTAAAAAGAAGCCAACTGTGATTTTCTAAATTACCACTGATCGTAAAAATCTACTTCTGGCCTCGGGAAAAAAATATTTTTATGCAACCTGCAGGGAACCAATTACCTGATGGAGCAACACTAAATTTCAAAGTCAAATTGAATAGTTTGTGCTAATAGGCAATGACTTCTCATTAAAGGATACTCCCCTATTGAACTCTCTTGACTTGCTGTCACATTGAGTCATTTTAAAGAATATTTACTTGCACTGGGTTTGGTTTGCAAACATATTCTGTATCTCCAAGTATATAGTTGCCTATACAGTAAAGCATACTTTAGTCTGAGGTTATTCCTCACCTAAATAACTGGCACACATCCCAGTGTCCAGGTAACTGCCATTTCCCTACCACTTTACAAAAGGGCCCCCAGGTTCCTTTTTTTCCTTCACAATTTACAGCCCCCAGGGACAATCACTGTGACTTTGTCCTTCTTCCTTCTGCTAGCCAAAGTGTTTACAAAGGCATGGGGAATAATAAAATAAAGCCCTTTAATATTATAATAACCAAATTCTTGCTTGGAACTTATCACTGTTTCACAGCAGATGGTCACAAGAATTAGCATCTAGCAAGGTTCAAAATGTGCTTGCAGGAAACATACACTAAAAACCAGCCAATTCTATAGTTCAGCATGCACATAGATAAGATGAGCATTTTCATCTTATCAGAATCTACCTCTGGATTTAAGAGTAGATGGTTAGAAAGAAAACCAAAAGGAAACTTAATTTCAATGGTCTTACTTAGTAAAATTAGTTATAAATAGCCTAAAACCAGATTACAAAAGAAGCACTTAAAAATCCTCAACATTATGATTTAAAAATACAATATGAACTATTATTTAGAGAAAAATAATGGAAACTAGAATTGATCCTGAAGTTTGTATCTACTTATCTTATAAAAGTTATTTATTTTTCTGACATTCCACAAAACAGCAGTGACATAATTGGAAACCAACACTTCACAACATCAGGAAGACTATAATACAAGAACACGGAAGAAAGCGTGAATTAATCTTCACGACGCTGAACGTTTAGGAGACTGTAAGTGTCCTAAAAGGAAACCAAGTAAATTCCCTCCTTATGGTAAAGTATCTCAGCTACTTTTCAAGTATCAAGGCTCCCAGGATTCAAAGAAACACGTTTCCCTTTTTTGTATGTGCAGCCGCCCCGTCCCCGTGCGGATGCGGAACGCACAGGGAGCTGATGGAGGGCGGAGGAGCGGCGATGGCAGCGCAACGAACAGGCAGAGCAACGGATCAGACGACATAGAAATAACAGGAGAGAAGGATGTCACTGGCTTATTACAGACAGGCACGCCTTCCTTCCACAGGGAACACGGGCAACGGGGAGGACATTCCGGGGCTGCGCGGGGCGGAGGGGGTCGGCTCTGGGGGTTCCTGAGGAGCGGGGACGGGCTGAACGCCAGGGGCAGCCCGGGTTGGGCAGGCCGGGCCCCTGCCGGGGACACGGGCACCTGTGCGCACCGGGGTGCGGGAAGGGCTAGGGGCGGCTGAGGCAGCCGGGCAGGGCTGAGGGCGGGCGGGGGAGCCGGGGCACTGCCCGCCCGCGGGCACTGCTGAGCAGCCAGGCAGGGGAACTGGGACACTGCCCGCCCGCAGGCACTGCTGGGGCGGCCGGGAGGGGAGCTGAGGCGCTGCCCGCCCGCAGGCGCGGGGGAGGCGGCAGGTCCGCGAGCGTGTGGTGTTTGCAGCCGCGCGGTGCTCGCGGGCTGCCGGCCGGACGGCAGCGCCGGGGCTCGGGGATACCGCCGCCGCCGAGGCGGGCATGCTGCGCGCTATCCCGCCCCTCCCCGGCTGAGCACCGGAGCGGGGGCCCCGCGGTTCGGCAGCTGCTCCTCAGCGCGGTCACGGCCGCCATCTTACCCCGGGCAGCGCAGCCCCTCACACCCCCCCGGCCCAGCCAACCGGCGGCGGCCGCGCCGGCCCAGCCAACCAGGCGGCGGGCGGGGCCGCGGGGGGCGCGGGCCGGGCGGGGCCGGCGGGGCCCGGGCAGTGCCCGCGGGGCGGGCGGGACGCGGCCCCGGTACGGCAAAGCTGCTGGCGGCGGGCAGGGCGTGCGGCTTCCCTGGGTAGCGGGAGGGGCAGCGCCAAGGGCCCGGCCGTTCCCGATACACGTGTAATAAAGTCCCGAGTGTGCCTGCCTGACCAACGCTCCCGTGTCTGTTCTTCCACCTGGAAGGAGGTTGAAGCCAGGTGGGGCTCGGCCTCTTATCCCAGGCAACTAGCGACAGAACGAGGGGACATAGTCTTAAGCTGCGCCAGGTGAGGTTTAGGTCGGACATTAGGAAGAATTTCTTCACAGAAAGGGTGATTAGACGTTGGAACGCACTGCCCAAGGTGGTGGTGGTGGAGTCACCGTCCCTGGAGGTGTTTAAGGAAAGACCGGGCATGGTACTTAGTACCATGGTCCGGTTGACAGGGTGGTGTTCGGTCATAGGTTGAACGCCATGATCTCAGAGGTCTTTTCCAAAATAACTGATTCCCTGATTCTGAGGAAAACTCGCTCGTAACCGCGAGGGCAGCAGTCCGGCCGCTCTCCCCCGGCGCTGACCTGCATGCGCTGCGGTTGTCACCGCTCCGGCCCTTGGCCGGATCAGGGAAAGGCATTGCCTCCCTCAAGACTCCGAGCCGCGGCAGCCCCGCCTGTGCCGGCCGCGCTCGGTACCGCGGGGAGGCGGGACCGGCTGCCCGGGCAACGGGACCCGGCGGCTGCTCCTCCCTCGGCAGCGCGGGGCGGGCGGCGGAGCGAGCAGGCGCAGAGCGAAGGCGCCTCCCGCCCGCCCCGCCCCGGCACCGGCTCCGCAGCATCCCGGCCGTGCCTCCGCCGCTCTCGGCCCCGGGGCTGCTTCGCCGGGGGCTCGCCCTGTGCAGGGCCCCGTCGGGACCCCATCGGCGCGGCCTCTGCGAGGGACACCGCTCGCCGCCAGCCATGGACGGGGACAGGGTGGAGATAGACGGCGGGATCATGGAGGGGGTGAGCGCCAGCGGCGGGCCCCGGGCTGCGGTCCCGGCCGGGCGGTGCCGCAGCGCCTGACGAGCGCCGTTTCTCCGAGCAGGGCGGGCAGATCCTGCGGGTGTCCACGGCGCTGAGCTGCCTGCTGGGGCTGCCGCTGCGGGTGCGCCGGATCCGCGCCGGGCGGAGCCAGCCCGGCCTCAGGTGAGACCCGCCCCGGGCGGCCCTGGGGCGCTCGGCCCGTCGCTTTCGGCGTGCGGGGCCCTCCCGGGGCCGCGCAAAGAGCCTCGGCTGCTCTCGTCTGAAACACTGGTGTTTCCATTGCTTGAGAAAGCCGTGTCAGTAGCAAATGCCGTCTGTGGCTCTCGAGGAGGGAGCGCGGGGGAGCGCTGGGGATGAACCGGGCTCGGTCCCGTCGCCCGCTGCCGGGGCAGGTGAGGGCGCGGCCCGGCTGCCCCTCGGAATGATTCCACAGGTGCTAAGCGGACACACGGAATGAAACACGAAATACGGTCATGTAATGCCTCAGCGAAACGTGACTCACCGAGCGGACAGTGTTAAGAACAGCTAGTGTATTTCCTATGTAAGTTACCCAGACAAATGGAAACGCAAGCATAGGAAGACACATCCATAGCAAACCTGATAGCTCTCCTGTGGCGCTTCAGCTGGTTCTGGCACAGCCAGTATTGCCATCCTTATCCATTCCATTTCTGTCCAAGCGTTTATCACATTAGGACAAGCAACTGCTCCTGCATCTCATCTGTCTGTCTGGACTAATTCTAATGGAAAAGATACCAGAATCCTGCATACTCCAGAATGGCCAGAATGCTGCTCCTTTGGCTCCTGTGAACTCAGGAGAAGTACTGTAGAAACCTGAGCGAATTTCTGGTCCTTGACTGATCAGAAATTTGCAATTGTAGTTTCTATTAGTTGGTGTTTAGTAGTTCTTTTAATGTAACATGAGTATGTAGTCTACTTACATGTGTTGTCACTCCAAGGCCTCAGCATCTGTCTGGATTGGAGATGGTTCGAGATCTGTGTGATGGGAAGCTGAACGGTGGAGAAATTGGCTCAACAGAAATAACCTTCACTCCTGGGAAGATCAAAGGTGGAACCCATATAGCAGATACAAAAACAGCAGGGTATGTCTTTGCACACTGCTTCTGGTAACTTTAAAATTATAACAGAAGACTGGTGGAGGGGGAAGAACATCTGTACATGGGTCATGACCCAGAGTATGTGCTGCCCTAGTCAGAATTACGTTACCAAAGAACCTGTAGTGTAGGAAGGATATGCATGAATAAAATACATGCAAGTATAATGGTTTTAAAATTGATATAAAACTTGAACACTTGATTCATGTTAAGCAAAAACCAGCTGCTCGTGTTTAAAACTTCAGCTGTTATTTTCTCACAGTACTGTGTTACATGTCAGATCAAATGCGTTAAATTAGATAAGTGTCTCAAATCTGTGAAGTCTGACATAATCATTACATAGTAAAGTAAATTTTGAGAGTTTACTTACACACATAGTGGCACAGTATGGAATACTAGTCTTTTGGATCTGGGAACATATTCTGTCAACAGTTCTTGTGTCTGCGTTTCTTCTGTATTTCTGTGTTGGCTCCTTTGTTCTTGGAATCCATTGCAAAACTGAGTAAATGGGTTTAGCTGTGGAAGGCTGGTGTGAACAGTTGTTTGGAAGCATAAGCCAGAGCAGGCATAAGGTGAAGTTTCTTTTAAGTTAAGAGAAATATTTTTCTGAGCTGAAATAATATAAACAACCAAGCTGATGCCTTTAACATAGAAAAGTTCGAGTAAGCCACAATGCGGCAGAATTGGTAATTAAGCACAAGAAAAAAAGTGAAACGCTGTGGTTCACAAATATTTGGGAGTTATTTAAGAAAACAAACCCATGTTTTCTCAGTTCTGTGGTGATTACTGTTTTTATAATTCAAAATTATGTTTCAAAGCCCTGTGAGATAACTGTTTTGTTTTGCCAAACAAACTTCCACTTCTGGAAAACTTACTTTGGAAGCATTTTTATCTCCATGAAATGTGGCGAGATTCAGTGATAGGGGAATCTTGTATCTAGTACCTTAATATTTTCTATGCTCCTGAATTCTCTTGTGTGGGATGCTGAGCAGCTTCTAAGCAATTTTGTAGTTTTCTTTGTATTTTGTTATTAAATAACTATTAAAATGTTATTGCTGCCTAAGCCTCCTCTGCTTTTATCATCTGCTAGCTAAACCCACAGTTCTCACAGTCCCATCAGTATACTAGAGAAGATACATTACTTTTATTTCAAACGAGACTATTAAAGATGCAATTATTGTGAAATAAAAACCTTCATATTTAGGCTTGCTAAGGACATGAAGTTTAAATTAGTATTTTTTTTAAGACTAACAACTTTATGGATAATTTTAACGATAAAATACATATGCAAATGCTCTGGAAAGGCTGTGATATGTAATGATTCTGTGGAATTCTATGGATTATGACTGTATGACATCGGAGTAATTTATAATTTCTTTTAGGAGCGTGTGTCTACTGATGCAGGTAGCAATGCCCTGTGTGCTGTTTGCTGCTTCCCCATCAGAGCTTCATTTAAAAGGTGGGACTAATGCTGAGATGGCTCCTCAGATAGACTACACAGTCATGGTAGGGAAAAACTCCTTTGGCTTGGTGCATCTTTCATGAATATGTGTGCAATGTAACTGCTGTACTTCCTGTTGCTCTTACTGCAAGTTTATTTGTGATTATGGAATTCGGCATGGGAATATAACACTATTAGTGTACTGTATGTAGAGAGCAATCAGTGTTTCATGGAATTCCTGAAACAGCAAACAGTCTGGTTTTAATTACTAAAGGAAATTCCACTTAAAATATATTCTTTATTCTAAAAGGGCTGTGATTTGTTCTTCCTTTTTCCTTAAGAAAATCCTTTTACACAAAGTGAAGTATGAGGAATGTCAAATAAGCTGTGTGGATGAGACTGGCTATCTTTTTTTCTTTTGAATAATGTAATTGAAATTTTTGTCTCGCCTTTTTCTTTTTTTTTTTTGGAAGACTGCATAAAATAGTGGGAAATTATCAATGCAAAATAAATTCCCTCTGTGTTTTTCAGGTTT